GCGGGTGGCGGAGGGAAGAGGTTCTAAAGTGGTACCCCACCCCGTCCCATCCACACACCTTTGGTCTTCTTGCCACCAAAGCAGCCAGCATCATCCCGCCTCCGGTGCTGGGAGCCCACAGTACTGCCCAGGGGCCCAGGTTCGGCCTCCTGGTACCTGTCGGCCCCGGGCACCTCCTTGTGCACGTGGTACGACAGGTTCCGCATGATGCATACGCAGTTCTCCACCGACTGTGGGAGAAGAGAGCTGGTGGGGCACGGCCGGGTGGGCACGGGGGATGCTAAGCCTCTGAGAGGGCCGAGGGTGTAGCCATGGAGGCCTGAGGCAGGGGGCCACACGGGCAAGAACCCTCAGGCAGGGGCCAAGAGAGGAAAAGGGTAGAGCACCTACTTCCTGTAGGACCCCATCTGGGCTTTGGGGCAGGCCCACTGCACAATATGGTCACTACAGGGTGGCCCATGCTGCCCCAGACGTGCGGGCCTGTTCCCTCTGTGCTGCCCATATGCTTCAAGCACCCTGGGCCCTGTTTCTGGTCCATCTCCCTGACCCTTTGTGGGAGGCTGAGTCTGCCCCTGACTGGGACCTGCTGGGACCACCGTGTCTCACCCCGCCCACCTTGTTGTCTGTGTCCTTCCTGCCCACGGCTGACTGAAGGGCATGCAGGAGCGCGTCCACCAGCCCTTCACATTCCCGAAGTCGCCGCCGGGCCTCTGCGCCATCTGAGCTCACGTTCCTGGGTAGCCAAGAGCAAGCTCGGTGACCCCTGGCTCCCACCGGGACTCCCCGGGCCCCCACCTGGCCTTGGGGGCTTGTTTCCATCTACCAAATGGACACTAACACTGCCCTGTTGAGGTGATCGGCAGCTGACACCAGCCTGCAGCAGTGAAGGGGGTGAGGCTGGCCTTCCTTCGGGGGAGGGAGCCCTAACCTGGCTTCTCCAGGGCGGGGGTGGGGGGAGAGGCTTTCCTGACTCCCAGTTGAATTGGAAAGGGACAGAGGTGGGTCCAGAAGCCTGAATCTGTGCACAGACCATTCTGGCTTCCCCCTGCCCCAATGGCAGCTCTACTATTCCTAAGGTCGGGATCCTATAGGATGGGGCCATATCTTGATAAACAGTCAGGACTGTGGGGACACTGGACTGCCTGTGGGTCTCTGCAGGCCCTCCTGTTGTGGGGGAGAGGTCACAGGAGGTGGGATGAGGCCTCCGAGGCAGACTGAAGAGGAGGGTCCTGGCTCCCCATTCCCTGGGTGTCATGATGATGGAAGAGTGGGTCGAAGCTGGGGATGAATAGGGCCATGGGGTACCGCACAACAGGGTGGCAGACTTTGTCTAGAGGCGGCCCTTGGGCATAAGTATAAGCCCATGAGGCCCCATTCTCAGGACTGGGACAGGAACTGTGACAGGGCTGATCCCTAAGACTCGGGCAGCTAGTTGTCTTCCAGGTTATCTGGGACAGGAGGACATGGCTCTCCCAGGATAGCTGTTTGCATGCAGGTTCTGGTGCCCGGCTCCTGCCTCCTTGACCAGGAACAGCCCAGGGCGGCTGCTCAGGGGGTGCCTGAGCCCGGCCCCACCCCCACCTCAAGCAGCCTGATGTGTTCTTGAAGACAGTCGTCCACTCGGCATCCCGTGGCTTGGAGTCCTCATTGGGCTCTCGCTCCCAGCCCGAATGGGGCACAATGACCTCGTGGGTCAGTGTCTGTAGGCCATGGTCAATGATGACCATCTTCAGGGGCTCGTAGGATGACAGGTTCCAGAGTGTGCCTGTGGGGCACCATTGACCAGCCAGTGCTGACCATGGGCACTGCCTCCCTGCCTCCCATGCGACTGCTCAGGACCTGCCGCACCATCCATCATGCCCCAGCTCAGGCCAGAAGGTAGGAAGTGACAAAAGCTGTTCCAGGCTCTGGATGCTCCTCCTGGCTGGGGCATATGGCACCTACCACTGGCTCCCACTGAGGAGGGGGTGAGGGCCCAAGGGGCTGGGACAAGAGCAAGGAGCCTGGGGCTGGAGACAGCAGGTGCCTTCTCTTCCCCACCCCTTCCCAGACACACGGGTGGGTAGGCCTACGACTGGGGCCACAATGAAAGGTGGTCATGTGACCCTGCCATTGGGAGTAGGACCGGGTGGAGAGGGGCCCAGTGCCAGCCCCACCAGTGGCAGCAAAGTCAGAGGTAAAGATTGGGGACCTTTCATGGCATCTAAGCCTGACACCTGCCCCCAGCAGTTGGGACTCCTGACTAAATGGGGTGCTTTCCCGGGCCAAGCCTCACTCTCGTCTCTTCCCAGGGGATGCAGGGCCGGCCAGGTGCCACTCACCTGTGACGAGCTCTCGGACCTCATTGTCCCGGGCGGCCCGCAGCAGGCGCACCAGGGCGGGCACGCCGCCACAGTCCCGGATAGCGGCCTTGTTGTCAGTGTCTCGGCCATAGGAGAGGTTGCGCAGTGCCCCACAGGCCCGGCGCCGCACCTCTGCCCTTGGGTGGTCCAGCAGAGCCACGAGCAGGGGCAGCCCCCGCAGCTGCCTCACACGCCGCTTGACACCCTCGTTCTCAAAGCACAGGTGCTGCAGGTAGGCAGCTGCGTTGGCCTTCACGGGGTCCACGGGGTGCCGCAGCATGGCCAGTACCTCGGGCAGCTCAGGGTCCCGCCAGCGTGGCTCTTTACGGGCGCTGTCGACAGAGGGCGAGCGCCGCACCATCCGGTCCAGGCTGCCCAGGCTGCCCCGTTCTGGCTGGGCCAGGGGTGCTGCTGTGGCCGGGAATGGGGGCCTCTCCTCCATCAGCTCACCGCCGTCATCGGCCACGTCTTCATAGGCCCTGTGCAAACGAACAGGGCACGCGAACACGTTCTCAGCGGCTGCCCGCCCTACCCCTGAGCTGCCCCAACAGACCTCCAGGGAAACGTGAACCCACTGAGGGTGGGACTGGGCCTGGAGTGTTGGTACTTGGCCCCAACCACCGCATGGGTGTTGAGCGTCACATCCCAGCCCAGCAAGAACTGACTCAGAACCAATGACAGAACCAACCCCAGCCAATGGTCATCAGGGCTGCATCCCTCCCAGATAGGGCTCACTCACTCCCATCACCGGGCAGTGTCCCCTGATTCTGAGTTAAATGCCGTTCTAGGAAATATCTGCCCATGCCTGGGAAGTCCCACCTTCCCATGAGGCCCGTCTCTATCTGGTGCCAGGATGTGGGGGGAGGTGATCTTCTTTGTATATGGCCATCCTGGTGGGCATACAGACTACCAGTCCCCCAGGGCACAGATGTCCTTGTGGGTTTTTACCATCAAACCCACTTCCCAGGAGAGGGACTAAGGTTAGGAGGAGCCAGGTGTCTTGCCCATGGTCATGCAACATACTCCTGACCCAGGTTGTGGTCATGTTCCCATTCTACAGATAGAGAAACTGAGGGCAGAGGGAACAGATCCAGAGGTTACGCTGAGAAGGTCTGGGGGGAGGTGGGGCTCTAGGGTTCCAGTTGCATCTGTGCATGAGGCCTGGGGAGAGACTGAGACTTCAAGCTTAGAGAAACACCCTGAGCCTCTTGGGTTCCTGTCTTCAGGGTCACCTGCCTAGAGCAGGGGCACTATGACCAGCTTCTTTCATGCCCAGACTGGCAGGGAGGGCACCCAGTGCAACTTCCACCATCCCAGAGCCTATCCTTGCTGCTGTCCTTGAGAAGAATGGAGGCCAATTCAAACTGACGTGTGCGTGATGAACTCATTTAGCCCGGGCAGCTAGACTACCTGTGGGGTACTCTCTGGTGGGCGAGTGGAAGGCAGACTCCCTGTTTGTGGTGGCAGGGCACAGGGTGCTCACCTAGTGCGAAGGCCCCGCCCACAATCAGGCCGCCTCCTCGTGGCGGTGCCATAGTCAGCCTCCAGCTCCGGGCCACCCCCGTCATCGGCAGCCAGGCTGCGTGTGTCGTCTTCCAAGCCATATGGCTCTGCCTGGAAGCGCTCGGGCTGGGAGCGACCGGCCGGCGGCACAGGCTCTGGGCCCTCGGTGAAGGCTTCACGGCGGCCAGGCAGCGTG